CTACACTATCATTCATATGCAGACAAGCTCAAGGAAACGATATGGAATCGTCATCAAAAACTGCACTCCATTGAAATGCATAAGTCTTACCACTTCAGCCATCAATCTGCCGTGGGACTCCAGTTGTCTGCATGTCCTGAGTGTCGTATGGATTTCGCTGCCTTTCGCGCGAGTGGTTGAATCTCAATTTTCTGCTCCCTGTTCCTTATTCTTATGCATTTTTTTAATTCTTATTCTCATAGTTTCGGGAAATTATGTTCTTAAACATAACACTCACAAACGGAATAGGCACAGTGCTCTGTTGTGGTGTGTGATTGATTACATATTTTTAAAGCTGCAGTATAACAGAAGCCTGACAGTGATACATACTCAGTAGGCATTTCAGATATTGGTTGTGAACATGATAAAACGATTGCCCTTGGGATAATGACATCTCTGCCCTGAAAAGTCTTGGAATATCTCGAAAATGATGTGCCTGTTTTGAATGGAACGTCTTTTCCTTATTTTTAGCAGGGATATATTTTTTTTTCGATGTCAGCCTCCTGTCTCATACAAGGCTTCCAGTCTCAGCAACTCAAGAAAGAAAAGGTGCGAAAGTAAGTTCTAGTTTGAAATTAGATTTTTAGGCTTCGTTTAAATTCACTTTCGACATCGACGATTACGGGAAGTAGTGCCAATCCCTTTTTTTTTGCTATTCTAACCTTTACAGTTACCAACAGAAATCACCATGGGATTCAAGATAAAGAGGGCGTCGTTTAAAGAAATCGGAATATCGGAACTTACCATGAAAAAAACATATGACGCAGGCGATAAGATATGAAAAAAACACCTCCTTCGAGCGACTCCCGAAGGAATCATCTGTTTCGAAAGAGCGGACTTGAGCTCTCAGCTTTAGGTGTTGTTCTGGGAAATTGCAAATGCGAAAGCCTTTCCTTACCAGTCTTTAGCCGTGTTTACGCTGCGGTCGGCTCTGGGACGCGAGCTTCACGCGGGGGTCAATTACGCGCTTCATGTCAGGCTCATGCGCTGAACTTGGGTTAGATTTTGTGAACATTTTTTGTTTTCTAGTTTTTGAACATTTGAACTTTTAAAACTTACTGGAACTGAAAAGGATTGTGAGGAAGGTTACTGTCAAGTATCAATGTACTGATATACATTAATAGTTCTTATTTTCATTGCTGAAACTATGTCTATATTTTTCTAATGTAGATTTAGTTTAATTGTGGATCAGCCTTTTGTGTTCATGTATAAGATTCACCAAGAAGAAATTTGTATTTGTGGGTCTCTTACGTTAAAAGGAACAAATTGTCTAAAAAATTAACCGATGATGGAGATTGCAAGGTTCCTTTAAACGGTACAGTCGCACTTTTCTAAGACATTTATGTACCATTTGTACCAGATCTTTCCGCATACAGAGGGAAAGGAACAGAGGGGAAACTATGCATGAAATGGATATCACATGCAGGCCTTAATCATTGCTATTCCAGGCTCGAATTCATTAGCATGTCATTAAAATGACAAAAGTATCAATATTTCAGCGGCGTTTTTGACATTGCAAGAGAATTCATAGAGAGGAAATCATATATCTCACATGTTTTTAAGTGTTTTCCTTTTTTTTCTTTCACGCTGGTGCAGTGGCCGACGTACATTAGCGCACGGTTCCCCTAACAGCCGCCCCATGCTCTCTCCCCTTCCTTCCCCGTTTTTCCCTTTCTAATTCCCGAGCTTAAGCTCTTTCCCCTCGTTTGCTAAAACCCGCTCCCCTCTTGTTTCCGCAGGTGTCGCCGGGTTCTCGATACCGACGGAGAGGGACGACTGGGCCTGGACGCCGGAGCGCCCGTCCCCCAGCAGGCGCGTCGTCAGGGAGGTGACGCTGGGCGAGCGCAAGCAGTGCGGGGACGAGGACCAGGGGCCCTTCACCAGGGTGGACACCGCGGCCAGGTGCGTGGCAGGCGCTCGGGGCTCCGGGTCGGGCGCTGCTTGGCTTGCTTATTTGTGCTGTTATTATCTTTTAGTTGAAATGGTAATTGTCAGAAATCGTTATGATTATCATCATTATTTTTTGCTATTAAAGTAGCATTAGTTGTAGTTGTAGTAGTAGCAGAAGTAATAGTATTACTAGTAGCAGTGGTGGTAGTAACAGAAGTAATAGTAGTAGTAGTAGTAGCAGTGGTAGTAGTAGTATAGTAATATGATTAGTGTTACAAATTCATTCATTAGTACGATTAATGTCATTGCCGTGAGTATTATTGGTTTATCTTTCTATCTATCTATCTATCTATCTATCTATCTATCTATCTATCTATCTATCTATCTATCTATCTATCTATCTATCTATCTATCTATCTATCTATCTATCTATCTATCTATTTATCTATCTATCTATCTATCTATCTATCTATCTATCTATCTATCTATCTATCTATCTATCTATCTATCTATCTATCTATCTATCTATCTATCTATCTATCTATCTATCTATCTATCTATCTATCTATCTATCTATCTATCTATCTATCTATCTATCTATCTATCTATCTATCTATCTATCTATCTATCTATCTATCTATCTATCTATCTATCTATCTATCTATCTATCTATCTATCTATCTATCTATCTATCTATCTATCTATCTATCTATCTATCTATCTATCTATCTATCTATCTATCTATCTATCTATCTATCTATCTATCTATCTATCTATCTATCTATCTATCTATCTATCTATCTATCTATCTATCTATCTATCTATCTATCTATCTATCTATCTATCTATCTATCTATCTATCTATCTATCTATCTATCTATCTATCTATCTATCTATCTATCTATCTATCTATCTATCTATCTATCTATCTATCTATCTATCTATCTATCTATCTATCTATCTATCTATCTATCTATCTATCTATCTATCTATCTATCTATCTATCTATCTATCTATCTATCTATCTATCTATCTATCTATCTATCTATCTATCTATCTATCTATCTATCTATCTATCTATCTATCTATCTATCTATCTATCTATCTATCTATCTATCTATCTATCTATCTATCTATCTATCTATCTATCTATCTATCTATCTATCTATCTATCTATCTATCTATCTATCTATCTATCTATCTATCTATCTATCTATCTATCTATCTATCTATCTATCTATCTATCTATCTATCTATCTATCTATCTATCTATCTATCTATCTATCTATCTATCTATCTATCTATCTATCTATCTATCTATCTATCTATCTATCTATCTATCTATCTATCTATCTATCTATCTATCTATCTATCTATCTATCTATCTATCTATCTATCTATCTATCTATCTATCTATCTATCTATCTATCTATCTATCTATCTATCTATCTATCTATCTATCTATCTATCTATCTATCTATCTATCTATCTATCTATCTATCTATCTATCTATCTATCTATCTATCTATCTATCTATCTATCTATCTATCTATCTATCTATCTATCTATCTATCTATCTATCTATCTATCTATCTATCTATCTATCTATCTATCTATCTATCTATCTATCTATCTATCTATCTATCTATCTATCTATCTATCTATCTATCTATCTATCTATCTATCTATCTATCTATCTATCTATCTATCTATCTATCTATCTATCTATCTATCTATCTATCTATCTATCTATCTATCTATCTATCTATCTATCTATCTATCTATCTATCTATCTATCTATCTATCTATCTATCTATCTATCTATCTATCTATCTATCTATCTATCTATCTATCTATCTATCTCTCTCTCTCTCTCTCTCTCTCTCTCTCTCTCTCTCTCTCTCTCTCTCTCTCTCTCTCTTTCTCAATCTATCTATCCATCTATCTATCTTTCTGTCTATCTTTCTATCTATCTATCCGTCTATCTTTCTATCTATCTATCTATCTATCTCTTCTTAATATCATCTTTATTGAAAAACCCTGATCTGTATTTTCTGCTCTATCTCCTTCTTTATTTCCCTATCTCAATATCTATCCATAGGTATTTACACATAGACAGGGACAAACAAACAGAGATAAAGAGAGAGAGAGAGAGATAATCAGCTGATTTTAATAGCCGATCATGATTCCAACGCCAACGAAGCAATGTACACAGAGAACGGACATTTTCCATCACGAGAAAAGATTTGCACCGAGTTTCTCTTCAGTTCTTTCACAGTTTAATGAGACCAGACTCCTCCTCTTATACATCCGGGAGTTCAATC